TCAGATGATTGGTCGTGCTTTTTACAGTACCACGGCTTCCACAGATGACATTTCTTTATGGATTTTTTGTCAAAGCACTTCAGATATTCATTGCTATCGGGATGTTAAGAGCATTCCATGGAATGTAGCAGAAAGTGTATCTCGAGCCTGTTTCTCAAACTTACCTACCCCACCTTTAAGAAAAGCCTGCACCCAAGTGGAATATTTAAATATGTGCAGAGAAAACCAGATGAATTTCTCGAGATAAAAACACATTGCTGTTACTGGTCTGCATGAATGTGTCCTCTCTGTGGTGTAATTAGCTTAATGGAGCAGTCCTTAATCTTCAATCTTTAAGTCTCACAATGGGTTTCATGGGCTGTACAACAAGATGCGTGAACATGAGTCAGATCACACTTTGGACCACTCTTAACAGTGCAGGTTGGAAACAAAACAACTAGACACGGACATTCTTAATGTTTACAGACGCAATTTGTACGTACTTGAAAGTGTGTGTAAATGACTTACTTGGTCAGGACCTCCTTATCATCTGGATTCTTTTCAAGAAAATCTACAATCTCCAACAAACTCTGTGAATACCTGGCGGACATTAAAAAAGGACGAGTTAAAACATGAATATAGCAACTCACTCAACACTAGTTATTTGACTACCTACACTGGGAGTTAAGCCGTGAACTTGTGTTATACTTTGCATGGTGGAAATTCCTAACCATTTTAACAACTGTGCAATAAGTTAGAATAACACTGTATGTTAGAGTATAGTTGCTGTTCTCTGTAGCAGACTGTGGATGAAGAAGAGGACTAGAGTGCTGAGCTCTCTGAGTCACACTCCCTCGCAGTAGGAAATCTGGGTGAAAGGTGAACACGCACTGTTGTTGTTTGTCCCTCAACTAACCTTCAGTGCTTGCATTATGGATTATGTGACCAGACATTCATCTTGAAATAGACTTTTGGGCGACTTGTATTTTTCCCCAGTTTGCCAGGAAATATCAACGCGTGAACTCACCCCTCGCTTTAGCAACATTAACAACTCACAGATCTTTTGGCTGGCAATCCAAAGAGGTCTGCTGTCGCGAGAACAGAAAGCCACAGTAGGTACATGGCCAAATATAGACAGTACTGTGGCTCTGTCTTAAGTGAAGAGCGGGGGTGGAGTAATGACCTTATTGTTAACATGTCTTACAGGGACTTGAGCACCAAGCATAACATGCTCTGGTAAAGTCTGCAGCAGAATACTGTGTTTTATACAAATCTAGTGTTGGTGAAAGAAAACTCCAACTAATACATCTGAAAACCAAAACAGACAAAATGTGCCTCCACATGAACTTGACTGCACCCTTGGTCTCTCAGTTTTTACAACACCTTAATATTGGTGTGTGCACACAGATGAATACTGGTTCAACGCTACCTGTGTGAGGGTCATAACACAAACAACTGTTGCCGTGCGACAACACATACGCATTATCTTCAAGATCGCTATTGCATTTAAGGTACAGTACAACATGAAATTGGGGCGTATAAATAATCTGCCAAGGGGATTCAAATAATAATAGCATTGCAACATAATGAGAGAAAGTATGTTAGCTAATCAAACAAAGTAAAGCTCCAGGATAAATGGTTTCTGGTCAACAAGTTCACCAATAACACCCGGGTGAGAGAGGTGGATGTTAAAACAGAACAGACAGTCACGAAACCTAACATAACCTCCGATAAGATCGACAGGGATAATGTTTTTATCAGATCAAAGCTAAATGTCTGTGACTAGGTGAATGTCCCAAAACCAATGGAGGAACATTTGAATTCAGGTTAGATCTGTTTTATATTTGAAGCAAAAAAAGTAATAGGTCTTGAGAGATAATAAGAGGACTTTAATATTCCAGCAACTACCGGTTCATTACTAACCCCAGTTGAAACAAAAACGTTTGTATGGAAGATGTAAAGGTCAATTTTGGGGGGAAATTATTCCTACGATATTTTGCGAAAACAATTGATATATGATGATATGTAGTGTAGAGCTGAGCATACCAGCTGATGAGGAGCTTTAGGGATGGAGTGCTGAGAAGCTTGTCAGGGAGGAAGTCAATTTCTTTCATGATGTTGGCCAGCCTGACAGGAAGCTCCTGCCGCAGGAACACAAAAGAGGTCTTCTCACATGCATTGGCTGAGCCTGCGGTCACATGAGGGGAGAGATAGAGGAACATATTACTGAGCAAGCATCTAACTTCTGACCCATTCCTGTCACAGATACAACACTTTTCAGTGGAGGAATTCTGTCCAGGATGAATACACAAACTGTCTTTCCTTTGAGGAGGAACCTGTTGCGCTCATGAAATAGTAAAACCATGATGAAAATATCTGCATTCTTCCTTTCTAAAACAGTAATAGGAGAGGTTGCATAGCATACATATATAACCAAACAGCTGTTTTGTGTTGCTTCTGTTAGTCAGTGCAATGTTCATTTGTTTTACACTGGCAGTGGTGTTGTTAACTGAGGACATTTACTCAAGTTAGTACTTAAGTACAATGTTAAGGTACTTTTACTTTACTTGAGTATTTCCATTTTATGCTACTTTGTACTTTGAAACCATTACAATTCGGAGTTACATATTGTACTTTCACTCCACTACATTTATGTTCAAGTATATTTAGATGCCTATACTTTTGTTCTTTTACTTGAGAAACATTTTGAATGCAGAAATTGTACTTGTAAAAGGATATTCCTACACTCTTACATTTGAGTACTTCTTCCACTTCTTGTCCACGTCTGGTCCACTTAAAGATAATCAGTTTGCAGTAAGGGACACAATGAAGGACAGACCTGCATTAACATCAGTCTGCATTATGCACTTCACTAGTGTTAGCTGCAGTTTGTCAATAACCAGCTGTCGATCAGATACTGTGCATTGGACATGTGAGTGTGGGAGAGAATAAAGTAACATGCAGTGCCAGTCACAATCAATGCTGCTCGACATACTTACCAAAGTCAATGAATTGCTTCATAGACAATGGAGAGGGGGAGAACTTAGCAAACCTCTCCACTTGTTTCGGAATGCCAGCCACGGAGCTATTTTTCAGCAAAAACTGAGCGAATTTCATTTTGCCTGTGTTTACTAGATCCAAAATGCCCTGAATCCCGGGGACAATCTGTCCTTTCTTCCTTCAGCTTGCTCCAGTTTGACGATTGTTAGCTAAATAGGAATAAAGCGTCCACCTTGGTCAAATTAAAAACAATTCAAAGATGCTATAATGAGTTCTCCATCATTGTTTTTCGTGGGCAGCTGCTTTGTATCTCGGGAAGTCGTTGTGTGCCCTTCAAATGCAACTTCCAACAGTGAGCGGAGTGTGTTGTTGTTGGGCGGGAGGAGGAGTGACTGACGTGCAAACCGACCAATGGGAGAAGAGATTTCACTGGAACTGGAGGGCGCGTAGAGGAAGTGTAGGTTGAAGAGAAGAGTCGTGATAATTATTATAATTTAAGGAAGGTTCATTTAAGGGGGGGGGATGTGTTTTTTGTTTGTTGTTTTATTTTTAGCAACTTAATGTACAACAAATTGAAAATAAGTGCACTGATGAACTCAATGGTATATAATTTAAGTAAAGAGTTTCATGGCTGCAATATTAAATAACGTCCCTGTCATAAAGTCAAGTTCTACCAAAATCACTTATCACATCTCCTAACACTTTTCCTGGTGCTTTTACTATATTAATAACATCTGTTTAAGGTATCAAGGCTTTTACATCAAGGACTTTTTTATTTATTGCATTTGTTTAATTTGAGTGAATATTTTTATAATTGTTGTGAATATTCTCATAAAGGCGTATTAAGGCTTTTGCATCATTTTTTTGTTATTGCATTTGGATAATTTTAGTGAATATTCTTTAACCAACTTTTAATTTCTTTTTTTTATGTTTTATGGCCAGCGATTATTATCTTTATTTATTCCTGTATTTATCTCTACATTTATGAATGTATTACTTTACTTATTTATTTATTATTGTATTTTCTTATTCCTGTATTTATGCATTGATTTATTTTGTACTCATGTCATGTTCTGTCCTCCATATCCGTGTGCTCGTTGTGTGCATACAGGTATAAATTACCTGGACAAAATCACATCATAACAAGACCAACAAGTTGGGTGTTCATCATTTTAAAAACACATTGGTGGTCCAGAGATTAGGCATCGGTTTTTCATGCAGGTGCTCAAGGTTCATCACCCAGGGGAGGGACATATTTTGTCTCCTGCTATGCTGATGTTAAATATGGAGAAAAGATCCCCACCACTTTTTCTAACAAAGTGACGCCCATGACTTTAGAACATTTGAATACAGATGCTGCAGCTGAATGGAATGTTATGGGTTCCTAAACGTTTTTTTCTGAAAAGTAACATTTTTATTTGTTTATTAATATTATTATTATTTGTATTTATTTAGTGTTTAGTATAAGTATTTGAGTATTTTGTATCTTCTTGTGTTGACATTATTAACTAGATATTCAACATTCTCCTTCATATAGATTAATTTGGTGCTCTTATTAGATCATGTTATGAGTAGAGTCTTCAATTAAAAGGGAAGCAGAAGAAGACCTTTTTAACACGTGCTGCAAACATAACATAAGCTTCTTACGGCCTCCCCTAGCGACGAGCTAGCCCGAACACGTGTTTTTGTGTTGTTTTGAACGCTTTCCCGCAACTTGTCAGCTAACAAACGACATTTCTGACACCCTAGGCTTTTTAATGAACTGCCGTTCGTTGCACCGTACTCACTTAACCGTGTTGACGTGACATTACCTTCCGAAGCATCACCGACTAAGTTAAATATGAGTGGCCCTCCTACTAACGCTAATTGTTACTTGTCTAAAAACAAAGCATACATGTGGTTTAGAATGGCAGTTTCTAACGTGTGTATTTGTTAGTTTGGCTCATCCGGCGCACTTCTCCAGTTGGCCACAAGATGGAGACGTTACAAAAGCCACGAGACGAACAAGGAGGTTGGATTTCCTCCTCCTCTCCTCAACATCTTCCTACTCCTCCTAGGGATGTATCAGCGTGCGGTGCACCTGTTTTATCCACTATCTGGGTCATCATCCATCGCTGAAATGCTGTGTTTTGGTCATCAATAGCTGTAAGAAAAGATTTAAACGACCTATTCGGTGGTGTCAGAAAGGCCTCGACTCTTGTCATTTAGGCAGAGGATGTGTTGATTTTTTTGTTGTTCGGGGTGCAGCAGTGAGACAGCATCTTTGCCGGGTGACACATCATTATCAGCACGAGTGGACAAGGTACGAGTGAAACAATAACACTACATTATACGGTTATTTACGACCAAATATCCCCCTTTTTGTCAGCTTTACGTTAGCAAAGTTCATTTGTATTTATAGCAAGGCCTTCGTATTATCGTATGTACAAATACTGTCAAAGGTATGATTAGCTAGCTTGGAATATTCAGCTAATGTCAGTTAACATTACGAGCACATTTTCTTCTTTTTAAGGCTACATATTTAGCTGGGTATGTGTTTTTGTTATAGTTATACCATTTATTTGTCAGCAGAGTACACATCTTTTGTTCTTTTCTTATGTATTCCTTCCAAAAAGCTTCATCAGACATTGCTAAACCTCCATGGTCAGGTGCTATTATTTCTTAAATAAATGGGAAAGACTGATACAAATAGGTAGCCCACATTTCTTTAATAACCTTTTGTCAGAGATCTATTTCAAGATCCTGACCCTAATGCCACATTTAGTTTTATGTAATCAAACTAGTCTACTTTGTTTCCCAAACCTGAATATTGGCAACTGAGGAGTTGAGTTTAAATGTTTATTGCATGCATTAGAATATTTCTGGAGAAATGGTTCAAGTGTCACACCACTGTTGATATACATTTCTGCCCCGTATTGATAGCTTTTTTGCCAATATCATTTCCCTATCGTTTGCTGGGCCTGCAAGGTTATAGATTGGCTATGGATGTACTGCCACACCCATTTTTTGCATTTTGTGAAGCATCACATAGGCCAACGTGTGAAAATGAAACCAGAACATGTTGTGACAGTGTCATATGTTGCTCATTGTCTGTCTAAATGTCCTACTTAAAGCCCTGTAGGACATCATGTCGGATAAAAGTGACCTAAAAGCAGAGCTGGAGCGCAAGAAGCAGCGCCTCGCCCAAATCAGGCAGGAAAAAAAGATAAAGGAGGAGGAGAGGAAGAAGAAAGAGGTAAGGAAAAAAGTGAGTGACTTCAAACAACTGGCCACACTAGTGTGTATTGTTTGATTGCTTTTTGTCGGGCCGCGTGACACAAAAGGATGAGGTTGTGTGTGTCCATACGTATACAGTCATCCGGTTGGTGTGGGACTTTTTCATTAAAAACTGCATGCATGTGTAAACTTATCCTAAGCATTATGATGTGTAAGATGTCCTTTATCTGTGTCCTGAGCAGTCAGAGATCCAGCAGAAGAGAGAGTCCATCCCAGAGGATTCAGACCTGGACCGTAAGCGCCGCGAGACTGAGGCCCTGCTCCAGAGTATCGGCATCTCACCTGAGCCTTCACTAGGTACGTAATATTCACACACCCTAAACAATGAGTTCAACCGTAAAGGGTTTTCTCTGTTCTGTTGTGATTTTTATGCTAAATATAAAGATTTTTTTTGTTTGTTACTATACATAACGTTTAAGGACCATGAAAGGTTCTAAAATAACACCAAACTACATTAATATAGCTCTGACACACCATTTAAATGTTTTAATCAATACTCACTGTGAAGTAAATCTAAGATGCCAACAACATCCTACTGCATGTTATTTAACAGATACAAAAAAAACAAGGTACATTTCTTTTATTTTTTGTGTTGCCGTGACTGCATGATACAGTTTTATATGTATGTTTGGACTTTTCTTTATGTTTTTTTTAATAATTACTTTGAAGTGTTACAACTCCCTTTTTATTGCCTTTCTCTCCTCAACTCTGGTTTTTGATTACTCTGAATAATAAGATTATAACATGATGCTGCTTCTCTTAACTTTACTTGTACACAAGGCAGATATTTAATGTAGGTTTTATCCCCAGGGTCCTTTCAGCGAGCGTTTGGAAGCACTGTTCTCTAGCGGTCTGAAATTGTAACAACACCCTCAACACCTCAGAACTGGGTCAATGCTCTGTCTGTTATAAGCTTATGTTATTTATAACGCATCTTCACATGAAGCGAGTAAGATCCTATTAATACAAAATCACAATGCTTTGATGCTTTGCCCTGCCTCTCCTTTCCTTTAAACATGCATTTGTATTTTCCATCACTCTATTTAAGTGTATTTCTTGCAGCCTTTAATGTTAGATTCATGTTATTTTCCTTATTTAGTCCCGACCCCTCTGTCCCCCTCCAAATCACTGAGTACCCCCAGTGAGACGGGAAGCCAGGATTCAACTGATGGAGGAGCGGTGGGCAGGTAGGCAGAAATCACAAACATCATTCCCAGGTTCAATGCCAGAGGTCTTCTTGGTTCGTTAGTCTAATTCAAGCAATGCTAAATGTCAAGGACCTTTCACACTTTCAAAAAAGGTTTGCTCACTCTTACAAACCAGACACTGTCTTCAGAGGGATAGATTGGGTCTTTAAAGCAGGTTTTCATGATGTTGTTAGACATAGTCTTGTATGGTGGTTGGCACTCAAGAAATTCCGAAGCTATGCAATGCAATGTACTACTGTGATTGGGGAGCAGCAGCTAAATGTGTGTTATACGGATAAATAAGGCACATCCAAGCAAAAAGTCTAAATCAGTTTAATTGTTTGTTATATTTAGAATATATTTAGAGCTTTACTTTCTGTTAGACACACACCCTTTCCACAGGGTAACTGAAGCGGTTATGTATGGTCTCCTTAATGCCACCAGGCTCCTATAAGAACAAAATAAACAGTAGCTTAACCTGGCAGAACATGAGCGTTTTCAGTCAACTGCAGCCTCGCTTGATTAGTTAGTTTGTGTTGTTGTGGTACAATATTCTGACTACAGCACACATTTGAACTGATGTGGAAAATGACCCTAAACAGTGCTTTATACAACCCCACCAGTGTTTCCCCTAGGATGGAGTCATAGCAGCTAAAGCACGCGGGCCCAGCATAATGTGAGCGCGGAGTGCGTGGAATTTTTTTGTGTGTGCGCGTGCGAAATGCGCCCCGCCAATATGTTTCTATGTGTCTGCCAGCACAAGAAAGGCTCTTGAGGCCTAGTACATACAGTGGCAATGTCTCAAGTCATTGCCACTGTATGTATAGGCCTCAAAAGGTGTATTTTGCTAAATCTTGAAAATGTTGCAAAATACACCTTTATTGAACATACAGTAACACAAATACTACAAATCCACATAACACACAATCAAAAATAAAATGTATGCGATTTAATTATTTTAACCTTTATTTGGGGGTGGACCTCACCTCCTCTAGGGGGGTCCGGGGGCATGTTCCCCTGGGAAAATTTATTTTTAAAATATTGAAGTTAAATGCATCAATCTGCTGCACTTTGAGAGCTAAATGAATTGATGGATAGATACAGCTCTCAACACTCAGATGAAAGGGAGCTGTGTACTTTTCAATAATCCAAACATCTTTAGAATATGATCTCAACCAATAACAAATCATTTCAACTTGTTTATTCTTATCTTATGTTACCTAGTTAGTATTCTTTCTTTTTATTTATGCATATTTTAATAATCACTCCCCCTTTAAACTGTATTGTTTTTACTGCCCTCTAGTACACATTGGAATGATTTCTTACTTTATCTTTTACAACTATCTTAAATAGATAAAGGTGTGCTCTCTCTCTCTCTCTCTGTCTCGCTCGCTCACAGAGGCTGTGTGCTCCTCCGTGGCGATGACGGCTTACGTTAAAAATAATAATAAACATATTTGTAAAGTGGGGGGACATGTCCCCCCTGTCCCCAGTGGAAATAACACCATGCGTATGTGTGCGTCAAGTGCAATGAATAAATATGCAAGTTGCAACACACAGAGTAAAGCTCTGCCCCTCATGTGGAGTATAGGCTGGCATGACTAGGCTGTGTTCAATGGGGCTGATGTGTTGTGTAGATTCTGGCAGAAGGAAAGGTCAAACTCGCGTCAAACGCAAGCGCCACTTATTATTATTTTTAATTTATTAAAAAAAAGTTGCGCCGCTGTTGAATGTATATAGGGGAAACACTGCCCACATTAAACGTTTTTTCATGTGGCCAAAAAAAACAGAGAATGTGAATCTCTGTGAAGTTTCTTTTGCCATTTTGTCACTTTTGACACATATTTTGTCTCCTTTCTTGTAAATGTCTCAACAGGTTTAGGTAAGAATGAGTGTCACTAACTGTGAGGTTGTGGTGCCTTGTTAGGTTTTAAATGTGGTATCTGTCTCTTGTCATGGCATCCGTTGTTTTGATGACCACTGTACAGCTTGTTGCTTCTCATAACTAGTTTTAGGAACATTAATGTCTCAGCTGCGTCCTTCCTGCAAATAGGTTGTTGGTTTGAACAAAGAGATGCTATTTTTGTTTAGATATTACTTGTGAAAGTGAGTTAATACATTTAAATACAACCAGCCATAGTGAGCCAGTAGTGAGCCATTAGCTGTATAGTAGTAGCTCCTCCCCTTTTGTTACTGGGGATGTAAAGTGCTTACTAGCTGATGTGTCATTCATGCGCCTGCATTTAGTGATATGCTTATACATCCATAACACACCAGACCAGTGGAGCAACTGTTTATCTTATAAGTTCTGCACATGGCTGCTCTGCTGAATAAACCTGCAGCTGAGAAGCGAGTGGTCATCAAGCACTTTCCATTTGCTTCTTAATGGCCGCTGACTCTAGATGTCAGTGTGAGTGATGCCCTCAGTGATGTGTTGTTCTGGTGTGGCCAGGAGTGGAATTGGGGATAAAGAACACGTGGGAGACTCTATAACGTTTCTGAGTATAAATAAATTCTCTTTATATGAGACTTTCTTTTTCTTTTTAGCTTTTACAAATTGGATTTTACAAAACGGTGAGTTAGATCCACTGCCTGGAATGCAATTTCTTCCCCCCAAATCCACCCTGGATGATGGCATGCCATTTTGAGCTTCTCCATTTGTGGCTGTGTATGTGTGTGTCCCTTCTTAGGTCAGGTTTCTCTAAAAACAAGTCCCAAGCACAGACTTCAAGGTAAGCATTTTCGCGTCAAACCAAGGAACCCTCCCCCCACCTTCCCCTTATTTGTTAGCCGAGTTTTCCCTCTAGTGAATACAGAAAGGCACCTGCAGGGCTGTCAGTGGTCTCAGAAATGTGTTCGCATCTTGATTTTTAAGATCAACATAGCTTCCCTCGCTCCTCTGCTTCTCCTCTGGCTACTTCCTGTCTGAAGCCTTACTGTCTCCCTTTCCACCAACTCAAAAGATTTCTGTTTGCATGAGTTGAGCCACAGAAGTCTTTTCAGCCTTCACAGAGTTGACAATCTGCTGCTTAATGTGTCATCACCGTTACTACCAAACAGCCAGTCTGTCAGGCTAAAGAAATGCCTTGCCACTCTCACCTGGCGCAGTGTGGCACAAGCTGAGTGCTGATAGGCATGTTCACTGGCCCTGAAAGGTATCATCAAAAAGTGAAGCGATGTGCGTTAGCCTTTCACTGTTAGTACATTTCAAACAAGTTGCCATACAACTCTCTCGGTTTCAGTTGCTGTTTGATTTCCCTGTAAGCAAGTGATTCCTACATCCCCCAAATAAAAACATGTATAGCTTCTAAGAAGTATGCAAATGCATCGAATAAGATGATCAATTTCCTCAAGGTTTGGCAAACTCATTGATCCTGCATGGCAAGCATATTGTCATGGATGTCGTGCAAGCTAAATCTTTATAAATGCATTTTAATTTGATGTCCATATGATGAATGTTATCATGTACATTTGTACATAGATGATGCATGTTTTTTTTTGTCAGTGTGAGATGTTGCTTCAATGTTCATGGCTTACATGCATCAATTGGTACAAATGTGCATATACAGTATTAGATATATAATGTCACAGAGGAATATGGATCAATGTCATACATGTTGCTAAAAGTGGATTCTGAAAAATCCAAACACATATTTCTACAGAGATTTCCTGCATTTAAAAGTCATGAGGACAAATTGTTTTCTCACTTGAATAACAATGAAACCTTTTTCCATCAAACAAGTTTTGTCCATAACTGTATATGTATTTTCAAACTAAAATATTCCTGGTAGAAGACCAAGATATCTATTCCTAAAGATAAGCATAGATCTTCAAATAAATAGCACATATAATGTGTCCCTAATGTATCGCTCCCCCAAGATATATCCACTTATCTTCAAAATATGTCATGCATGAAAGTTGATGGGAGTCCTTGTGTGGAGCTGCTTTTTAGACAAGAGGTCTGTGAGTGAGTGTGTCCGCCCATACATGTGGTTTTTGTGAACCTTTAACACATGTGCCATACTTTGTGTGTTTGTTATAACATGTCTGTTTGTAAACATACATGTCCTCTCTTGCCCCCCCTGTTGGTGACACCAGGACGCTGCAGTGGGACACAGACCCGTCTGTGCTGCAGCTGCAGGCTGATTCTGAGCTCGGGTACATCTTCCTTTTCTCCTTTAGTTCACAGACTGACAATAAATGACACCTTATTTGACATTAAATGGCATATACTGTATTTATAGTCTAATATATGATTCCATTTTAAGGCTTAACCACTCAAGTGACACAGTCTTTTGAATATTAACAAAGTGGTTTCTAGAGAAACAAGGCCCAACATTCAAACTTCTGTACAAATACAAATCTGTATTAAGGTTAATATAAATGTATGATCAACATCTTTTGAATCTTTTGAATCTGAATCACTCAATCCTATATTGGAAAATATGTTACATCAGGCAGACTTCTCTTCTAGATTCCTCCTAGAAGGAGTTTGCACCAAACAGCAAAAAAGTTGTAGCAAGAAGTGTCTTGCAATATAACTAGATAGATATATAGATAGATGGATCCCAATTTGGGAAATTATTTTGTCGCAGAAGTGTGTTCAGACTTTATAATACAATACTTAAAATACTTAAAAAAGTGGAAAATAGAATTAACAATTAAAAATAAAATGAAAAATATTACATAAAATATAAACAAAACAATATAAAATATTCTGGATAATTAAAATAAAAAGTCAAAAATACTGCAAAATACTTCAAAAATACTACAGGATCCAACATACTACCACTATTGAGCATCCACACATCCTAAACATAAACACACAAAAATAACTCCCCATATCCCCACTGTGCAATAATCATGATCTGTCTCTATGTATACACTGTAATATTTATCATATATATTTGATCATAATTCTATTTTATTCATTTATTTATTAATCGAAGCTGTGTGCACTACTTGCTGGTCGAAACTGTCAGACCTTTTAATCTGTGTTTTTAATAAGTTCTGTTTTCAAAGCACCTTCTGGAGTAGTGACTATAAATCTCGTTGTATTCTGTACAATGACAATAAAAGCTTTTGAATTTGAATTAATGTCCAGGCTGAAACAATGTATCTTGCAGTACTGTATACAGGACACATGCAGTTAATGCACATTATAACTATGCTAATGGGAACATCTTGTCTCTTGTTACCCAGGCGCAGGATGCAGAGACTGGGAGCCTCGAAGATCACACAGGTAGACTTCCTTCCCAAAGAGATGGTCGCTTACTGCAAGGAGACACAAACGCCTCTCAACTCCCACCTGTCTGAAGGTGAGCAACATGTGTGTGGCTTCTCTTAGAAGTCAATATCCAAGTCTAAGATTCAAGCTGTTTCAGTTTCTGGCACCAAAGTTCACAAGAGGCAACAGAAGTTCTCTGGTTGCAATGATTGTAGACGTTGTGCGGTTGAAATGGATACTCCTTGTGTTAGTCAGTTCACAGCCTGTAAACCCTGAGCAATTTCAAGGCTGACAGATGAAAGATACCTGAGAGGATTCCTGATGGAGGTCGGAGCATTGCTGCGTATATATGCGTTATACACACACATCGATGTATGTTGGTGTATTTGATGTATTCCTTACCACTATGGACAGTTTAGTGGGCTTGAAGAGAAGGAGCTGTCATTCATTCCTATATGATTTGGTCTGGGAAGAAATGCTACTTAAGGAATGTTTTTTTTTGTCCGTTCTTGTGGGTTTGCATTGTGGGAAATGTATATGTGCCTTTTTGTGTCTCTTTAAGTGGGCGTGCATGCGCATGTCTGCACTGCAGTTCCTAAACACATCCATATGCTGAGAACTGAGGTCAGTCCTGCACTGGATTTGGCATAACGTTGCAGAAGCAAAAATACAAGGCATGTAGATTTGAGTATATCTTTCTATTGGAGGGGAAAGATGGTGGAGATTTGGATGGAGCACATTTCTTGACAGCCTTTGTTCTTATTCCAGATGCAGAAATGGCATGTTCACGTGTAGGAATGCACATACAAGTACTACTCCACCTACGCTCTCCATCCAAACCTACTGCCAGGCATGTGTATAAAACACACACACACACACACACACACACACACACACACACACACACACACACACACACACACACACACACACACACACACACACACACACAAACTAACAACGCACATTCACACTCACGCACACACAAACACATTATACACACCCCCATCGTCTGCTCCATCTTCCCTCTTGTAGTTGCCAAGACAGCTGGCAGCCATGTGACTGTTAAGGGGTTGTACTTCCTGTTTCCTGTCATTATAATAGATGGTCTGGTGTGGATTCCACTGCCCTCCTCCAGCACGCAAATACACACACGTCTGTCCTGATCAGCATCCAATCTGCCCGCCTCCACTCCCCCCACTTCCTTGAAAGAGCGAGGAATAGATCATTTTATTCAACAAGTGCACTGACTCACTCATGTGTGTGCTGGGAGACATGCATGCACGCACACACACACACACACACACACACACACACACACACACACACACACACACACACACACACACACACACACACACACACACACACACCAGAGTCTGAATTGTACATACAAACAGACTTGGTTGTTTCGTTTACCTGCAGTATATTGAACGCCCAACACAAAAACANCGACGAC